AATTGAAACCTAAAAAATAAAAATAAATAAAAAATAAAGTAAAATAAATAAAAATAAAAAATACAGTAAATAACACAGGTAAAATAAAAATTTTATACCTGCATCTAGCAAGTCTTGTTCTAGAAGTAAGAAACTAGAAGTCTACTGTAATTAATATTACGAAGCACACAGGGTGTTTTATACTTATGAATAAGTGGAAGCTTTAATTTTTGAGTACCTATTGCATTGCAAGCAATAAGACATGTGATTCATTCCTTAGAAAGTTTATGGCCTGACCGACGACTAGTTGCAAGAGTTCTTGTTGGCTCTTGCTTCTAGTAAATACCAGTTTCATCAGCATTCCAAACATCATCCAGTGGATATTGTGCAATAATAGTATGTAATCTTTTATGTTCTTTACTAAGTTCAGCTTTTGATGGACTACTTTCACTTTCACTAACTAATTTATATGACCTTATCTCATATCATACCTTAAACTATGCTAACCATCTATTTGAACCGTGAAATTGTTGCTCACCAAGGTGAGAAGCGATACTCTTCGCTTTCTCTATAAGAACCTCATCACTTAATAGCATTTGTTTTGCAAATGCATATTGCAACCACCTATTCAAGACATTCTCAATTATCGGAAATCCTAGTAAATGTTCTCTTTTTGATTATGCATTATGACTATCACCCTGAAGTTGAAACTACTTATTTCATTCCCACCAAATATCTGAAACTGCTTGTTCAGATATATTATATTCTGGTACCAAGTCTTTTTGCTTAGGAGGATTTGGTGCAGAAAGTTTTTGGTAAATCTCACATTTTGTTACACCTGATATCACTGCATGCTTGCATTTTGTACTTGAGGTAAGTACTTTACTAATTCCAATAGTTGCTATTTTTTAGTTACTCAAAAAGATAGAAAAATATTTCTGATTAAAGGCGGTAATGTAACAGGTAATATGTTAGTATTTTATGTTTAAAAAAAAAAAGGGGTCAAAAAAAAAAGATCAAAAAAAAAA